CCCCCCCCGCCCCACATTTTTCGGTGTCTTTTCCCCATTGGTGACATGAAGCTGTTGGACTTGAAACTGCTATTCACTAGAAATATCCAAAGTTGACTTCTTGTTCATTCTGTGTGCTAATTTGTCTGTCTAGGTACAGTTCTGAAGAATGGTCAGAGTTTAAATTGGTAGTGATGACTAAATGTGCAGATAATGCACATGGATTATGATGCAAAGTTTGGTTTGCAATTTTCTCCTTTGGTTACTTGGAACTGCAGATACAAAGGACCCTCTGGCTATTCCCTTAATAGGTGCCAAGTGCTGAGCCATGGGGTCGGGATAGACGGATTTAGGATTTAAAGTTAGTGAGTTTAAAATATCGTTATATTCGCTATTCTTTTATGAAGATGAGTTCAAACTTAATGGATGTATCTAGTCCGTTTATGCATACCTTGACTATTTCATTGGATACTTATTATTTTCCGTTAGTATAGATATTGAATAACTCTGTTCACTGATGTTAAACAAACAGGAAGAGATCACGTAGTGATTTCTTATGTCTGTTGAAAATCGAATTCCTATCTGCAATCATTATCTGCGATGATTGTGATGAAAAAAATTCAAAGCTATAACTGAATTGTCTCCGGTTAATGATTTGGCATAGGGATAAAACAAAGAAGGTGCGTGGGTATGACTAGGGAAGGCAAACAGGCGGTTCAGGTCAGATATGGGCTGGTCGAAAACGGATACTGTAATCGGCTTGACCCATATCTAATACGAATCGAAAATGGTTAACCGGCGAATAATATGGATATAAAAATTACTTTTGGGAGAGTTCCTAGTCTTCCAAACTTGAGAGGCTTTGCAATTTGAATCTTTGTAAATGTAAAAGTTAAACTTATTGATTATCTATTTTATAGTGGATAATATGGATTTTATCCATATTTAACTCATTTTTAAAAAGTTCAGTATCCAACCTATTTTTTTTGTAATTAATTTTATTATTACCGGAGAAATATTTACAAGTATAGCAAAAAAAAACCTATCAAATCTCACTTAGATTTGGACATGCAGCCCCAAATCTAGTGCCCTCATTTCTACATGACTACTCAACTACAATATCTATGGATAAAAATTGAACTCCTGCAGTTTCCTAACTATCTTAGAATTCAAACTTCCTCGATAGTGCACCTCTTGAGTTATCACTCTGATCAGCTCCTCGCAACTCCTTTGTGTTCCTCGAAATGTTCTACAATTTCTTTCCTGCCAAATGTAGTACACAATACAAGCTAGCAACATTCTATAGATTACACATATTTGCTTCTTCCCTGTTGCATGCCTTACACCCCATTGAATCTCAGCATTCCACCCCTGCACATCTCTTGTTATTCCCAGCCATTGTAGTAGCTTCCTCCATATTATTGTTAAATATTGCACTTGAAGAAAAGATGATCATGACTTCCTATTACTCTTTGCAACACCCCGCACATTTGGATTATGTATGAATGAGTTAAAGGAGTAGAAATGTTATATTTTGGACATATGAAGTCCTATCGGGATGATTATGGGTGAAAATAGTTGTTTCAAAATCAAAATGAAAAGTGAGGTGCATAAGATTCGACAAAATCGACTAAGTTTGCAGAAGGTCCGTCTTCCAACAAGGTTTAGTGAAAACGTGTAAGGAATTTGGAAAAACTCAAAGAATGAAAGTTGCAGGCCTTTGAAATAGCTTTACAACGATATATTGTAGAGCCCAAACGGAGCTCTGTGAAAAAAGTTATGCCCGTTTTATAGAACAGTGCGTAACCATCGCGTTCGGCCGCGTTTGACCGCGACAGCGGTCGTGAGGCAGTGCTCCAGCTATTTACCGCGGTTGGGACCATGGTCAGGCCTACTGGGACGTGGTGGCAGTCTTGAGAAATTGTTTTTTTAGCCCTATATCGTCCCCCACAGCCCCAAAAAATAAAAACTTACCCTAGAAAGGAAAGCTCTCAAAATCCTAACTCCTTAAGGGTCCCTCCACCACCCAAGATAAGTTCTAATGGTGATTCTAAGTTAATTTCGATTTCCAAACATCTTGGGTAAACCCTCCATATCATTAGACATTCGATGGGGACACCATTATTGAGAGAGAAAACCCTAGAACTCGAATTCAAGAAGATTGAACGTCAAAAAGGTAATATCTTCACCCTCTAATTGATTCTATCATTGAATTAATGGTTATAGACTCTAGTTCATGAGATATGAGCTAATGGGTTTGATAGAAAAATATGAACGATTATAGGTTTGGGTTGTTGATTATTGATTTTTGGTTAAGGGTGTTGTTTACCTTATGGGTGACAAAGAAATATATTGATTATAACCATTTGAGACTTTAGAATTTATTTAAGAGCAAGAGAATGGGTTATTGGGTGTAGAAATACCATTAATAAGGACTATGAAACTTTATGCCACCAAGTGTTTGAGAAAATGCCTAAGTGACCAAAACATGAGTATTATTGCTAATATGGAATCCCTCTGACTTGTATTGATATAGATTGAAGTTGAAAGGGTTAGCGAATATTGTATTATGCTCAAGAGCAGGAAGTTAAAGTAGGTGAGGCTAACTCTCTATGTTTGGGAATGTTAATGATTCTCCTTACACTACGTTTCTTTTACGACGTATTAATTGCCTCAGAAATATAGTTAAGCCTAGTTCCTTAAATAGTTGTATAACTCATATTCTCTACCTTCATAACTCGTTCATGACTTTCATTCTGAATGTTGTGAGCTCAGTTTGTATTCAATATAGACTTAGGTTTGATGTCCCTAAGTCTCAGTATAGCTTACTCAGCATGTCATAAAGAGTTGAAGTTTTAGTGTTCATAATTAGTTCAAGAAAACATGTCTCATTCTAGTCCTATTCAGTATTCCAGTATTATGTAACTCAGTGTGATCCAGTATTCCAGTACCATCTAACTCAGCGTTATTCAGTACTTCACTATCATGTATTGCAGTATGATTCTCAGTTATTGATTTTAAATTCCTGAATGTTGAACACCTGTATTTGGGCCCGAGGCCGTATTTTATATGCTTTATGCATACTTGGGCCTGAGGCCGTAGTTTATGCTTTATGCATGTTTGGGCCTAAGGCCGTAGTTTATGCTTTATGCATGTTTGGGCCTAAGGCCGTAGTTTATGCTTTATGCATTTTTGGGCCTGAGGCCGTAGTTGTGTATACGTATACTTGGGCCTGAGGCCGTGGCTTGTGCACATATATATTGGGCCCGAGGTCGTAGCTTATTCAGATAAACAGGTTGTTCATCATTCAGAAGAGGGAGTATTCATAACCTTACTTCCTTTGTTCAATTCAGCTATCAATTATAATTTCAGTTATCCGTTATCAGTTATCATTTTAGTTATCAGTTAACATTTCAGTTATTAGCTATCAGTTATTATTTTAGTTTTAGTTTCAGTTTCAATAGTTATCATTTCAGTTATCAATTATCAATTCTCAATTATCAGCTGAGTATTAGTTTCAGCAGTTATAGTTCATTCTTTCAGTTGCTTTACATACCAGTGCAATTCAAATGTACTGACGTCCCTTTTGTCCGGGGCCTGCATCTCACAATAGATGTTGACAATTCAGAGCGCTAGGACTCTCGTATCAGTTTTTTGGTGATCCCAGTTCTTTCGGGGCTTTATCATTACTTTATAGCCTTTCAATATTTATAGATAGTTCGTGGTTTCAGTGCTTCAATAGAGGCTTCATAGACTACAGTAACAGTTAGACAGAGTCTCAAGCTTTTCATGTTAAGCTATGTTGGCTACAAATACGTTTCAGAATTGTATTAGTATTTTCGCACTTTGATTTATATCATCCAGACTTTCAGTATATCAGTATGTGTTAGTTTATCTTCCGCATTCAGTATATTATGATATCACATGTTGATTCAGCCAGCCAGTTGGTTCACTCGGTCACATGTTATCAGGCACCGAGTGTCGTGTTACGTCCAGGCCTAGGTTTGGGGCATGACAAAGCTTGGTATCAGAGCACTAGGTTCAAGTGTCTTAGGGAGTCTATGAAGCCGTGTCCAGTAGAGTTTTCTTTATATGTGTGTGTCGGCCACTCATATAAATGGCTAACTACCAAGACATTCAGGATTGTCTCATTTTTTTCTACTCTAGATCGTGCCATGAAGCTTAGAGCAATAGTTAACCTTCTCTTCCTATTCCAAACGTATCGAATGCCCAAAAGACGTGCAGGAAAATACTCAAGTTCTTAGAGAAGATGATTTCCTTTGGAGTGTAGGTTGGTAACAAATGAGACATGAGATGATGTTAAAAGTGGGATGTAATGGGTAGTAGTACATATTAGAGCACAACCTTATTAGAAAGTGCAAAAGCAGTCATCATGTCTTATGGTTATCAGTTTACCTTAGTTACCAGTTATACAATCTTTCAGTTAGCAGGTTTATAGTTGTTCAGTATGCTAGTTATTTGTTATTCAGTTACCATATCTCCGAATTTTAGTGTATCAAAATTTCTGGAGACTTGTGAGTATACGATGATGCATATGGATGCTCAAAGAAAATGTAAGTAACAGTGATTATAGCAAAATCTCTGCATGTGTTAAGAATTAAGACAAATACTCACCGGATGGTGCATTAAGTGATTTATCATATGATGGTATACGCTGAAGAATAAGTTTGTGTATGATAATCGTATGTGTTTTACCTCAGAGAGCAATTTCTTTTAATTCTTCGAAATGGAGCCACAAGTTGGATGATGATAGTTCAGATGTCAGACCCTAACATTGGTCACTATAGTTTGGACAGAAAAGAGCCTAAAGGTAAAATACCTAGGAGTCAAAAATAATTGTTATTATTAGAGATGTATTTTTGTAGAACTCATGCAAATGACTAGAAGAAATGATGTATGCAATGAGAACCAAGAACATCCAATAGTGAATTTCAGGGAACGATTTTAAGTTGTTTAGATTTATACAAATCAGAACTAGAAGTACCGCATTAGTAAGTTACTATAAGAAATGGCTATTATTGTGAGATAAAAGGTATGACAGTTCCCCTTCAAATGATGTGAATATGTGTTTAGGCCGAAGTTTTATAGTCTGAAGTGATTTTGAAGTATATAGAAAGTTTGGGGGTTAGATATTCCAATTTCGTTTATATGAACTTTCCCTAAGTGTGATATATGTACATAGTTTTAAAAAAAAGATAGTATACGACCTCACAATAGGGTCGTATGATGAGAGAAGTTAGAAATAACCTTATGCTTCACTTTAGTTATTC